ATAGGTAGGTCAAATACACCCTATGATGAGCTGTGGTCGTGCAAGGCATATTCTCCAATGATTGGGTGAAGGACGGAATAAATGAACTGGACTTTAACTTTTTCTCGCTGGAGGAAGTTCGATCGATCGAACCTTAACTTGGATCGATCGAAGATGGGTTCGATCGATCGAACTGCATCTTGGATCGATCGAAGTGGTCTGACTCCTCCGGATAAGAACAAGGCTGAGATATTTCGAAGATATTTATGGGGAAAAGGACAAAAGTGGTTGGTAGGCGTACAGCTGTGGATAAGATCAATCATTTGAATAGGACAAAATAGGGTTCGATCGATTGAAGGTGATGTTCGATCGATCGAACTTGGAATTTCAGCAAAGGCCAAGGTTGGATCTATCGAGAAGTACTGTGATCGATCATAGATGTTCGATCGATCGAACTCTAAGTCGGATCAATCGAACTTTTCAGCTGCACAACTTTGATTCCTTTTTGCTCCTTTCTTTTTCCACTTTGCTCCCTCCTTTGGTTTATCTCAAGATTGCTTCAATTAAGTTCTTATTTGGCTGAGTTAGCTCAATTTTGGGATTAGTGCCTGAAAATATAAATAACACGTAATAAGTCTAAAACGGCAAAGTAAGATAGATAAAGGTACTAGAATGCTTAAGCTTAACAGGTTTAAATGCGCACTTTTCAGTGCTCATCAGTCCCATGGAAGTGCTGCTATCACTTGATGGAGTGGCGGTGTTCTTAGCGGCCTTCGAGGTGAGAGCTTTGTTGGTCGTTGCAACCGTGACATTCTTACCAGCATTCTTCGAGCTATAAGCGATTTGAATCTTCTTGGAAGTCATTGATGCGAGTAAGAGATGGTGTTAATGAAGTGATTAAGGAGATAGAGATGAGAGGCAAAGCGGTCCCACTAGGCGTGCCAAAAATTTGTACACACAAATTTTGATTCCGAAAATTCAGGAACGAAAATAAATGCGATGAACAATAATTTTATTAAATAATATCAGAAAATAAATGAGTATAGTTCTCTGTTTGGTGATTCTATTATAGTATAGAATCTCCCTTTGATTGAATCTCCTTAGAATGTCAGCACAAGGGCTTCAGAAGTTTGATCTTGGGCCAGTGGTTGAACTGTATTTGAGTTCTTCAAAATTGAAGAAAACTCAAATAGATTTCTAAACGAGGGCCGGTGAGGCTTGCTCTCGAACGGTGGATTTGAAAGTCTTCGAAGGAGAACGGCACTTGTGTGCTTGTTGTTTTTCAGAATCTTTGAATGTTGAAGGGTTTTGATGGAGAACGGCGTAGGTGTGACACGCTTTTTGTTCTTCTTCTTCAAAAACTTCAGAGTTTTCGTTGAGTCAGAACTTCAGCAGAGCTTTGATGTTCTGTTTGTCTCTTTCTCTGTGTGTATTTTCTGTCTCTGTATGTGTCCTTTCTCTTGTAAGGTGGCCTTATATTTATAGGTCAAGGAGTGGGTCGTTTAATTTGAAAATTTCCCAATATTTTGCGATTCTTCCATAAATAAGAGATTTGTTTCTTTTTATATGGAAATCAATTCAAATTCAAATTTGAATTCATTTGAATTTTACCGCACTTTTCTTTAAAGGTTTGAACCTGTAAGATTTTGACACATGTTCATTGATGGGACCTGTATTTGTGAAATTTAATTAATCAAGGAATATTTGACTTCTTCACCAATCCGACGGTGATTAGACCATCACAATTTTTAAGCGTCTACATTCTCGATTATTTAATAATTAATTTTTTATTTTGCACATGATGTAATTATGACAATTGACAGAGATATTAAGATCTAATATTGTCAAGTAAAAATATACTTGAAATTAAACAAGCCAATGAGCAAACGGATGATCTTATATTGGTTTGTCAGCTAGGGGTTAGAACATGATGAACAGAGACAAGCAATAACGTCATCATTATTTTTGTGGGCCAATTAAATTTTCTTTCTAACTTATTTATTTATTTATTTATATGACAATTCACCTGTTATATTTAAGTGACCTTTAATTAAAAATATACAACGTGTGTGTTACCTGTTTTATTTCAGGACACTCCATGTTTAACTTGCGAATGAGTCACGTGGACGTGTGTGTTAGTCTGTTAGACACGTCTCCTCACTGAGACGTAGACTAGGGTCCTTTCTTCCAAGCCTTGTAGCCTCCCAGATATTCACAACCAAGGAAAGAAAGAAATTAAGTTCATCCGCAGCGGGCCCGCGCAAGCCTGTTTTGGCTAGTAGAATGGACCAAATGCGCCTCAGCAGGCTCGCAGAATTGGGCGGGGTCTATAGTGACTCGTGGGCCGGCTGGCGGAATATCACCAGGCCAAGCCCGATAATGAATTTTTTTTTTTTTTTTTTTACTTGACCAAAACGACGACGTTTTGATTAAACCTTTTTTTTTTTGAAACGTTCTTAGAATGGTTTTCTTTAGAGAAAAAACCAAAAATAAGTTATTTTGAGCTCGTTTTTTTAAATAAATAAAATAAAATTTATTAAATAAAAAATATATTATTTAGGCATTGTTTGTCCAAAAAAAAAAAAAATTTATTTGGACCAAAAAAAAATTAAAAAACAATTTTTTTCCCTTAAAATTTGATTTTTTTTTAAAAAATTTACTTTAAATTTTAAATTGCTACCATAAACAATGTTGCTGCCATAAACAATGCATTTGGCCGGTAAGACACTGTTTGGCTGACACAAACAGCTATAATATTTTTAAAAAAAAGTTCAAAAAATTCAATTTTGTAAATTTTTTTTTTTAAATAATTAAAATTAAAATTTCATTTTCTTATTCGCATAAATCCTTATTTTCTTATTCTAATTTATTATTTTTAATCTTAAATTTTAATTTAATTTAATTTAATTTTATTAATTTTTTTTTTTTGGAATGTGAGAATTTGAAGAGTCTGATGGAACATGTTTCTGGAAAACAAAAGTTACTGACGTAATTCTTGAAATTATTGACATGATTCTTAAAAAAATTAAAATAATATTTTTAAAAAGTTTAAATTCGAAAAGACTGCTGCAAATAAAATAGCCTAAGGAGATTACATTGGAGGTCTATATTCAAATCTAAAAATAAAAAGTGAAGCATTATCCATTAGGCTTATTTTTTGTGGTCCATAAAAAATCTAAGCCTCCAAAAAATGTGGTGGGGGCGTATATGTAAAGTGGGTGGGTCAGGCTCAGATCAAATTGGACCACTCGCTAAAGTCTTTGTCCAGTTAATTTGGGTCGGCGTTTATCTCGTGCATGCCGACTTGCAGGTTTTGTTTCAAGTTTGCTCCACCCAACAAGTACTTCTTGTCATTAATGGAATCATGGTGAAAAACGTGTAGTCATAATGGGTAGGACATCTCACAAATTTGTGAAAACACAGGCAGTCAACGAGAGCTATGTTTATAGACCACTCTTTGTACATTTATGCAAAAATAGTTCACACTACGCCTTTCTATGACTAAAAAAATTTGAGATGCTAAAGTTCGGCGTTTCATTTCTTTCACAAAATATATGCTGTTCAATATATAAGGTGGGGCGGTATTAAAAGGATCAGGTTAAAAGTGTTTCGTACCTTATTGATTCATGAGGTGTTAAAAGAATCAGGTTAAAAGTGTCCCATACCTTATTGATTCCTGAGTTTCGATTCTTTCTTCCCCTAACTAACTACTAAATGTTAAATTCATATCCAATCCATTATTCTACATTGGTTCAATGTTTTCAGATTAGTTTTCTATTTGTTAATATTTGAAAATTTAAAAATCATATTAGCTTGTTTGACAGTTTTGAAGAGATGTTTATAAAAAGTAAATATAATTAAAAAAAATAAAAAAATGTGTGCTTAAAAATTTGTCTTTTATAATTCTCTGAAAGTAATTTTACTCTTTAGGAATAAAAAGATTTACTCGTGAGTCTTCTCCTAATTTTATGAAATGCAAAAACGGTTGGGAAGAAGAAAATCCATACATAATATGGATGCACGTGTTACACCAGACTTGGTCATAGGCATTGATTGAACGTTTTGAAGTTACGGAAAGAAAAGAAAATTTCAACTTTGATTCTTTTTGGTTACCCGTTTCAACTATTTTGGTGACATCAGATGTGTGACTCACAGTGAGACTACTAGCTCCGGTGAATGGACTAAAAAACATAATAATTTTTTGGACGGTCATAATTTGCCGCAACCTCATGAGTTCGCTTGGTTGAATGTTCTTATGAAGTGATTTACTCAACAAACAAAGTTGAAGAATATTAGTCATTATATATAGTATTCCTTTGTTTACAAATCAAGTCATATTTGGTATGCCCGAATGAATGTAATTTCAGTTATTTACTTTTTGATAAACTCCTTTTATTTATATAAATATATATATATATCTATATGCGTGCGCACACACAGAAATACTCCCATGCAGTCATGCGGTCTAATATCAAGCTTAATCATAGTTAATAATGTATTCCTCTTTCCATGTTGCATCAAAACTATCTATATCTACATATACCTTCAAAGGCATGGTATATTAGTTCTTGGAATTCATGGCCATGATAGTACATGGGTTCATGTGTTCCAGGATTTGTTTGCAGGTTCAAATGGAAGGAATGAGAAGTTCCCCGTTGATGAACCAGAAGGCCTTGAGACTTTTATGGGGGATGGCGTGGCTATGCCACATCAGTTTGAGACTAAAAGTAGGACAATTAAATGGGACAATCATTAGTCATCGTTTAATCAATAAATTTAAATAGATTTAATAATTAATCAGTCATCAATATTTTAATAGTATTTTTCGCATCATAGATATCATTGATTTATTGGTTGGGTGTCACACCAGTGTTGAAATTTTTTATTTTTTTAATAATTTGTGGCCTCCAGACCTTGAGGACTACGGCAGGGTAGGCCAGGACTGGTCCGCCAAATATTAGTCTCTCCCTCCCTATATATACATGTATAATATTATACCCTCGCTGCTAAGAGTTCGTAAAACCAGCAAAGATGACCATTTTGGCAATTTCTTCAATAATAATCTTCTTCCTCTTTTTGATATCATATATCTGTGTCTACCATAACTTCCTTCGCAAGTTTAACAACCAACCATTCATGATGGATCATTATGTAATTCTAGCCACTACCCATTTGAATTTGGGCTGGAATTTTCTGTTCAGACGCTCCAACTTTCAGCATTCACAATGTGATCATGTGCCAAAGATTACTGGTGAAGAACTCGGTGTAAGGCGCTACGAAGGCAAAGATGAAGGTGTGGAATGTGCAGTGTGTCTGTGTAAGATTGAAGAAGGTGATGAGATAAGAGAACTTAGATGTGAACACCTCTTTCACAGAGTCTGCTTAGACAGATGGGTTGGATACAGGCACATAACTTGTCCCATGTGCCGCGATTCACTAGGGCGGCGAAGAAGAGCCACTGAGCTTGGAGAGGAAGTTCTGGTGTTCAAGTTCTGGTCTTTCGGTTCAAGGGACCGAGAATTATGGTGGCTGCGGTAAATCATTATGCCTGCTATATATGCACTTATGCTTGTATGTATGAGTTCCTTGTAATGCCTTTCGATCTCACAATTAGTACATTTTCTGTGTGTATGATAATCATGTCCGCTTTCAGGACCAATGTATTCCAACTGTTTGAAAAATTAGGACAAATTATAGTCAAAAGAATGTAATTGCAGTCTTGCAGAATAAAGAAAATGGTGGAACGACTTTTCTACCCGAAGGCTTTACATCAAGAGCCATTTGGGTAGATTATAGAGATCAACTGTTATACGTATTAATTTTTTTCTTTAATTTATTTGACCAAATTACAGTCATTTCTTAATAAAACTTTGATACTCCAACCTAAAGGTGGAACGAAAAGCCTAACCAAAGACACAATAATAATAAAAAAAAAATGACTGTTGGTCAAAGGAATAGCAAAGTCTTATTAAAAAAATTAATGTAATTTGAAAAAATAGGTTAAAAAATATACATATATATATATATATATATATATATAAAAGTTGATCGGTATAATCTACTTAAATGACTTTTGTTGTAATATTTTTAGCTTTAATCATGATATTTTGGGCTTTTTGTTTGGCCGAAGGAATCATGCATGATGTGGGACCCAAACATGGGCCCCACCACAGGCTATTAAAGACTTTATTGCTTAATTTAATTTGATAATTAAGCCTTAAATCATTTTTCTTTTGGTGTTTAATTGTAGCAGAATATTTATTAAGAAAAAAATATATATTAAAATTAAATAAAAATAATTTACTTATCAAAAATTTTGACACAAATTGTTTTATACATTCTGTAAGGTGAATTCAATTTCAATTTAGACATAAATTTTTAATAAATACCGAAAAATTAAAATAATATATATATTACTTTAAAAAAAATATTTTACTTAAAAAAAAATATTTTATATCAAAACAAACATTCCCTTAATTGTACTTCCTACAAATGATTATCCATATTTGTTATGAGTTGGTCTCATCATGGCTTTTTTGCTGATACAATTGTGGATCAGATCGTTTTTTACAGTAGCAATGTTTATCAATTATGCTATAGTGGCCCACCATTACAGTTGGAGTGGTGACCTTTAAGAAGCATTTTTCAATATGTTAAAACAAGAAGGGTGGGCCACACCCTTCTTTTGAGCCATGTTGGAGTCCGAGGAACTTGTATCGTTACTCTTTTAATATTTATTACGGTGATAATATTTGTATTCCAAAATAATACAGACACACCACTATTTATTAGTGTGTAAAATGAGACATCCTCTCTCGTCCCCTCTAGTGTACCCACACCTTTATGGGCCAACATTTTCATAATCTTGCAACTTAAATCCTGTTAAAATTGAATTCTTCAATTTTATTTTATTTTTCATTGGTAAAATTAGATTTTTCTTTCTAATTCTCACTCTAATTTTCTTTGGTACCCCTCGGGGAGAAGACACATTTATTATCTTAATTTTATTGACATCCCTTTAAGTTTGGTCAAATATTATTCTGAAACAATTTTAAAAAATTACTATCACTTAGGTCCAATTTTACTTTTTCGTCAATAACACCATTAAAAACGTGCGAAAAGACAAATTTACCCTTATTTTTTAAATTCATTTTAAACTAAAATGTCAACAAATTAAAAAAAACAACATTGCCCCAATAGTTCTCTCTCTAAAATATATGATAATATGCGTGCATATATATATATATATATATATATATATATATATATATATATATATATATATCTAGGGTTAATTTTACTGACAGCCCCTCAGGTTTAGCCAAATATCATTTTGAAACAACTTTAAAAAATTACTATCACTTAGGTCCAATTTTACTATTTCGTCACTAACACAATTTAAACGTGCAAAAAAGACAATTTTCCCCTTATTTTTTAAATTCATTTTAAACTAAAATGTCAACAAACTAAAAAAGAAACTTTACATATTCATTTATTAAAAGATTAAACTATCCCTAAATACTTTGCAATTTATAATTATATTACTAACGGGATAGTGGCCTAGAGGTATCAGCCTCCTACTTTTCAAAGGGAGGTCAGGAGTTCAAGCCTCAGTAGAAACACGCGTGTGTGAATACCAACTATGGAAAAAAAAAATTAAAAACAAATTTACAACGAGGAAAATGCTCTCTACTTTTATCTCTCTTTTTTTTTCTTCTACTAGCAAGAAACTTTACATATTCATTTATTTTTATAAAAATTTGAAGGTTTGAACCTCTTGGTTTGCATCTAAAAGAGAAGGTGGAGTTTAAGAAAGTATTTACCTTTCAATCATTAATGGCTTAGTGTTAGTTTTTATTAGTATATTTTTATTAAAAAGAAATAAAAATCTATGAATTATATTTAATTTCTTTTCAATTATATTTAAACTATTTTTACTAAAATTTTGAAATGTGAATTTATTCATATTTAATATCAGAATTCATTCTATCCATAACCATGCTTCCTTAACCCTAAATAGGAGGCTCACACATCATCTCTCCATGTCATCAATGTTCACGCTTTCATTATTCTTTTGCTTCTCCAAATTATGCAATCTAAATATATATATATTTTTTAACTGAACTATATATATATATATATATATTAAAAATTAAAAATTGTGCCATCTATAGAAGTCAAGGTCTGAATATGCAACATGTTGAGATTCACAACATGTGCAATGATTGGGAGGTTGCTCCAAGATAAATATTTACTTGCAAAATTTTTATTGAAGCTATTCTTTTAATTCACAAAATGTTATATAGTTTAGGGTAAAGTGCATTAAACTCCCTCAACTATACCCAAACAAGCACAATACCCTTCTGAATTTCTAAATGAGCAGAAAACCCCCCAAACTATAGTGTTTGGTTGCAAATCACCCCATCCAACAAGGCTCTGGTAGATTATGGCCGGTAAAAATAGCACATGTTATCACGTGATGGGAATTATAAAATTAAAGGACCATAGTGCCCTTGTTCACATGAAAGGACTATAATGCCCCTTTGTCACCATTACACCCAAAATTCCTTTTTGATCATCCAAGCTAGTGAATTGTAACCCAATTTCAGAGAGTTTCATCTTACAAACCAAATCCAAACCGAGCAGAGCATCATCATCCAAATTAAATTGAAAAAGCGACCCAAGTCAACCACCTACATTTTTTAGTTCTTCAACGGCGGAAAAGGGTATCCGTAGAGATCCTTATTCCTCTCTAAGAGCTCGCATTGAACCTCAGCAAATTCCCACTCCGATTCCCCAACGAAGCTGGAATTGAACCGAAGAGTCTATTATTGGAGACGTTGAAGACGAAGAGGCGGACGAGGAGGCCCAACTGCTAGGGATTTGACCGGCGAGCAAATTGTCATGGAGATCGATGACGTTAAAGTAGGGGCAGAAGGCGAGCTGTTGGGGAATGTTGTTGGAAAGGTGGTTAGCGGAGAGGTTGAGAAGGGCAAGGTTGATATGGTATTGGAGCTCCGACGGGATGGGTCTGGTGAGACCGTTGGTGAAAAGGTCGAGGGACTGGAGATTGGTGCAGTTGGAGAGGTAAGGGGATATGGAGCCTTTTAGAGAGAGATTAGTGAGAGAAAGCTTGTAGATGCAGCCGTTGTTGCAGGTAACGCCTTGGATGTAAGAGGTGAAACCGGAGCAAGGATTTTAAAGCTGATATGGTGTTTTCAATTCTCAGTTAGGAAAGGTGGTGTTTGGGACGTGACTGTATAACCCTAACCCATTTTGACAAAATCCCAAAATTAAATCCCCAAATCACACTGAATTATTTAAGTTTATAGAGAGAAGTGACGGCGATGGTGGGGTGATGGCAGTGGGTTTGTGTGGTTAAATTAGGTTGACGGTGTGGTGGTGGTGTATGTTTAGAGTGATGGTAGTGGGATTGTGTGTGGTTAAATTGGATTTGATGGTGTGGTGGTGGTGATGGCGGCAGTGGGTTTGTGTGGTGGCATACGAGCACAGACGGTGTTGTTGGTGGAAGTGTTGGTGGGAGTTAGGGAGGTGATGGCCGGCGACTGACTGCCATGGAAGTGGGAAGTGGGAAGTGGTGGTGGCTCTTTGGTTGGTGCAAAACTACGTTGTTTCATAACAAGGGCAAATTTGTCTTTTATCTTTTCCGGTCACTGATGGAGTAAAATGCAACAAAATCATAGTTTAGGGGAGTTTTTTTGTAGTTCAGGAGGGTTTCTTGCAAAACCCCAATAGTTCAGGGTTTTTTTTTTTTTTTTTTGCATTTAACCCTATAGTTTATTATTCTGAAATTATTTAATCTTGGTGTGAATTCCCAACAATTCCATATTCATATTATTCAAAGAAATGTGTGGAATTATTTCTCTTACATGGCCATGAATTTTTTTTTTAAAATTTTTTTTGGGTAAGTATTTTATGGTCACATTTAATAACTAGGTCCCCAGTCAACCCCTCTTTCTCATAAAACTTTAATGGTACCATCTGAATTATAAAAACAACAGGAGTTGTTCACATCAGATGGGAATAAAATGTGAAATGGGTATAATAAATAAGTGGATATGCAATATTATCTAATAATTAAATTGAACTTTTCTGAGTTAGACGGCAAGCTGTGCACCCCATCACGTTTTATGATGCATTGCTTGCCCTCTAACTCAGAAAAGTTCAAATTAATTATTAGATAATATTACATATCCACTTATTTATTATACCCATTTCACGTTTTATTCCCATCTAATGTGAACAAATTTTGTTGTTTTTATAATTCAACTGGGGACCATTAAAGTTTTATGAGATAGAAGGGTTGACTGGGGACCTATTTTGCGTAGTACATGATTTTATGTTTTCTGTCTTCGATCTTGGCTATGGTTGTGGTTTGTATGAGTTGTGCTACAAAGAATGGTTGCGAAATTAAACTTTAAAAAGGGTTAAATGCAAAAAAACTCAACTGTAATATAGTTTATGCACACAATTATTCCCTTTTTTTAAAAAAAATTGTGCATTTCAGTCCATAATGTTTAAAAAATGTGTAAACAAGTCCCTGGTCACTTTGATTTTAGCCTTTTTGTTCATATTTTGCCTCTTATCTTCTTTCTTCCTTCTCTCTCCTCTCCACCTCCTCCCACCACAATTACAGGCCACCACCCCCACCACCATTACAGGCGACATCCTCCGAAGATCCCAACTGCCGATCGCCACCCCTGCCTTCCACTCATTCATCAATAACATCACTGAAACCATCCGCAACAGCCCCCCTTGACCGGAAAGAAATGAC